AGGCTTCCCAGACCCCCCTTAAGGAATTTCCAAAAGAAAAGGGATCCAAAAAGGTAGATCCCCTAAAAAGGAGGTTTCTCGAAAGGACCCTTTTTTTAGTAAGGTGTCCCAAGTCAGACCCTGGGTTCCTGAAAAAATCAGGCGACTTAGTGCATAGTGGGGGTGTATTTGTTGAGAAGCCAGAGTTATAGTCCTGATGATATAAAACCTGCATTACCTTAAGGACCTTAAACTATGGGAACTGTAGTGTATTCCTTATGATGGGTAATGCAGGGTTTATATCATCAACCGCAGTATGACCACAAAGCCAAGTCTAGAAACGTCGTTGCGCATCTACGAGATCCGCAACACCGCCCTCCCACACTAAACCCACTTACCCTCGCGCCCTGAAGCCGAGACCCCTAAAACCCGCCACCCTGCATCCAGGAAGCCCAGCACCCTTGAGATTTACCCCAACGGGGCCTCGAATCATACTCCGCTTGGGGCAGTAAAGCCTAAAATGCCCCAAAAGCCCCTCAGCTCCCAAGCACAAACATGCCTCCTCCCTAAACCTGCTCTTTAGACGTGAGGGGTTGAGGGTCCAGAGTTTGCTCAGCAACATCAGTGTCTCTCACTCTCACAATTTTTTAATGCACTCTGGAGCTTGTTTTGCAGTGATCTCCTGTATGGTTGATTGTAACCTGATGGGTGGTTCTAAATTAGGGTCCCACTTTAGGTCCCCAATATAGTACGGCACCCTCATAAACTGGATCTTAAAGGGCCCTACAGGGCCCTACAACCCCCTAAACCCCAAAGCCCTAAGCCCTAAACCTTGAACCCCTACTTGGAGGTTCATGGGTAGTTATAAATGGGGTTATAAGTAGGGTAACTATACATATTAGGGGACTTATAACCCCACTTATAACTACCCATGAACCTCCAAGTAAACCCCGAAACCCCTTAACCCGTTTTCGCCCCCTTCCTCAGCCTTTCGGGGCTCGCGATGAGCCGGGGCCCCTCCGGGCGCCTGGCGCCCTCCGGCGCGAGGCGGGTTTCGGGTTTAGGGCTTCAGGGCTTTAGGGTTTTAGGGTTTAGGGGTTTAGGGTCTAGGGTTTTAGGGGTTTAAGGTTTCGGGTTTAGGGTTTCAGGGTGTGGGGTTCAGGATTTGGGCCCTAAACCCTTAAAACAACAGGGCTTTTAGTGCTTAGGGTTCCATAAACCCCTGAACCCTTCAAAAAGAAGCAGGGTTTTTTTAGTGCCTAGGGTTTCATAAACCCCTAAACCCTTAAAATAAACAGGGTTTTTACTGTTTAGGGTTTCGTAAATCCCTAAACCCTTTAACAAAAAACATGGTGTTTAGTACTTAGGGTTCCATAAACCCCTAAACCCTTCAAAAAGTATGGAGTGTTGAAGGTTTCAGAAACCCCTCAAACCGTCATAAACCCCTCAAAAAAAGCGGTTGAGTGAGTTAGTGTTTAGGGCTTCATAAACCTTGAACCGTCCTAAACTCTGGTTTAGGATGATCGGGTTTTATAGGCATCAGGATGGAGAGATCTACACACATAGAAAGACAGATATAACTATGTGTTTGTCTATGTATCTTAGGGGCTGAGTAGGTAACCCTTTAACCTTTAGGGGCTTATGTAGACCTATTTTAATTCAAATGGTCAACCTATTTTGGGCTAAGGTACTCGGCCCTCAGGTATGTATTTCATATCTATTCATGGCTAATCTGTTGTATGCCTGTTCTTGAAAGGATCCTTCTTGGGGAAACTAACATTGGCTTTTAGGCTCTAGGTTGGGGTCTTCTTCTCTGGGATACAGGGGTTGGCTCTTGGGCTTCTGGTTCGGATATTGTCCCCACAGTCGGATAATATTTCTCATGTAGGGGGGGTGGGGGGTATAAGTATAACAGGATGTGGGCGGGCAGGGGGTGGCATATTAAAGAAGAGCCATTCATCGGGACAAACCGGGGACACTCTTGCCAACAATTCAATCCCCCCTGCGTGGCGTGGGGCACAGGGTTTTAGCACCCAAAGCTCACGATTTGTCAGCAAAGAGTCTCGCCTTCGCGGCCATCCTTAAAGTGAGATCATGACTGATAAAAATCAGAAGTAAGAGAAAGCAAAACTAGCAAGAATGATGATCATTAGACCTGTTCATAGAGGATAATACCCTCATGCGTGAGTCTGAGGCAGGCCAGGGGCTGTGCCAGTGCGACGTTCTATAAGTAAGCAAACTCGGCACGCTACGCAGGCCCAACGATGCAGATCTTGTCCCTCCCCCATCCTTCAAAATCCTAATGTGCTTCGTCGTACCAGTAACCCTCGCCAAGGTTTGCCCGAGTGTGAGTGCTAAAAACCCTAAACCCGAAGCCCCAAAAAAGTCTGCCAGGACTCTTTAGGAGCCGATGGCGACCATTCAGACCAAACTCCTGCGGCCGGCGCCGGGAAAGTCACTGTCTCAGGTTCTCTTTCCACTAGGCTAGTTAGCCTTAGAACCCATATGGGGGGGGGGGGGTTTCCGACAATAGGGGACCCTAATATCGTACCCTAAATAGTAAGATCCTTATTATAAGGATCCCAAAATAAGGTACCCTAATTTTCGGAAAGTCCCATAGTAGGGGACTTATATCCGCACTTATAATTACCCATGAACCTCCAAGTCGGCCTGTCATATGTTGTATAGATGGCTTCACTGAGGTTATGAGGTTCGTCTGGGATGCTTGTCAGAGCTGTTCAGGGTTGCAAGAGTATTACCAAGGGCTTTATAGGCCCCCAAAAAGCCCTGTAAACGAACCCCCTTCTGGTGCCCCTGATCTAAATCCTGCATTACCTCAAGGACCCTAAACTATATTGTATGGGAATTATGGCATATTCCTTATTATGGGTACTGCAGGGTTTATATCATCAACCATTCTAGTGCCCCTGATATGTAGTTACGGCAGAATGTTCCCCAAAAGCCCAATTCAACCCCTAAACCCCAAAACCCTAAACCCAAAACCGTATGTACTCTTCTTCCACGAAAGCCACCTTGACGTGAGGCCGGTGGCTTCCATCGTGACTCCTGTGGAGCGACAGGCCAAGATGAGGTTTCAGGGCTTTGGGAGTTTAGGGTTCGGGGTTCAGGGCTAGTTATAAGTGGGGTTATAAGTCCTTTAAGTAGGGTTATAAGTATAGTTAGGGGACTTATAACCCCACTTCTAACTACCCATGACTCCAAGTAGGGTTCGGGGTTCAGGGCTTTAGAAAGGATCCAGGATGAAGTGCATTGCAGTAGCCTGCGCTTCAGGGTTCATCTAGCCGACCTGCTCATGCGCTTCGTTTATGGAGTTTGGGGTACAGGGCTTCTCTAGCCTACCTAACTTTAAATAGCCTTAGGCTAATTCAGGGCTTTAGAACTCAGGGGTACAAGGCTCATGATTTAGGGTTGACGGCTTTGAGGTTTCGGGTTTAGCCTGGAGTTGCATTTGACGGAAGCGTGAGGACCGTTGACCGAGGAGCTATCCTGCCCAGCTCATTTCGACGTGTGCCAGTTTGCAGACAGGTCTTAGGGAGTTCGGGGCATGGTTTTGGGTTCATGGGTTCGGGTTCAGGGTTTACGGTTCAGGGTGTGACTTTCAGGGCAAAAAGCTGAGAGATCGGTGCTGCGCGGCCTTGCAATACTTTTAGTGCTGCCAAGAATACCAGCAGTGCCCAAATCGGTCTTGTTCTCCTCTTTGTTTTTAATATTGCCGCTCTCAAAACCCCGAGGAACCAATAGAATCCTCATTCTTCACATTTGCTGCGGGCGCAAAAGGGACATAAATCAACACGAGGCCAATGTCCTCGAGATGCTCTCTTACGTGGGGAGCTTAGACGCCGGCAACTAGCATCGCCAACTCACTTCAAAGATGATAATCACCGGGTCCTAAACGAGTCTATTTAGGGAGCTGTTTGGTTCTATTTGGAAAGCTCTCTGTGCGTGTGTGTGTGTGCGTGCATTTAGAAGGTTTTGGGGTCCGTTTAGGCCACAACCAGAAGAGCTTTTGGACTAACATACCATATAAGTGGGGTTACAAGTCCCCGAATATGGCTTATAAGTATAGTTATCCTACTTATAACCCTACTTATAACATATAGCTACCCATGAACCTCCAAGTACTGTAGAGAAGGTTCTTTGGTCTATTTTTGATCCCTGGTCTGTCAGTCGCTCGAGGTTTCGACGGAGTCGAAGCTGAGAGTATCAGAAAACAAGGCGAACCCCTGGTCTTTACTTGACGCGTTTGATGACATAAATCCTGCATCATAAGGAATATATACACACCCATAATTCCCCATAGTTTGGGGTCCTTGAGGCAAAGCTAAGGATTCATATCATCAGCAGTATACACCCTAAGCCCTAGATTGGCCGTAACACCCGAACCACTCAGGATCCGTGATGCAAGGACCCCGAAGCATGGGACCCAAAACTTGACGACACAATCTTTTCATCAGCCGGGTCCTTGGGAGGTCTAGCGAGGTGAAACTAGGGCCCCGTCTTGGATCCCGCAAAATGGTCTCAAAATCCAGGAGCGCGAAAGGAGCTCCTAATTTAAAGAACCCCCCACCTCCATTCTTCGGGGCTGCGTAGGAGGGAACAAAACCCCGAAGCATGCAAGGATCGCAGCGATTTCAGCCCCGAGCAGAGTCCTGAAACTTGTGGCTTTACGACCAAGCCCATGCCCGACCTAAGCAACAGCCCCAGCACAGCACTCCTTTATTGTTGCGGCCTTGAGACATGAATAGGGCCGCGGGGCCTATTGAACTACAGCTCAAGAAACTCGACAAAATAGCAATTGTAATTATTACTCAGGGTTTAGGGTTTCGGGTTTAGGTAGTCGTAATCAGTTCAAGCCTGTGGAAAAGGTAGTCGTAATTATTAGAATTTGTTCAGGCTTCAATGCTACCTCCCGCATCGGCAAGCCTTCTTCAAAAGCATGGGCCCCCTAGCTCTGGCCTGAGGTGCATAGCCTAGGCATCGACCACGTTCGGGAAGCCGACATGGTCTGGATTGCCGAGGAGGCCATTAGACTTAGATTTTACTTGGGGTTTAGGGATTCGGGTTTAGGGAGTTCTAAGTACTGGTTTGGTTGTTGGCTTCCGGGTGGCTCATGGTTGAAGGCAGGAGCGGCTCAGGGGTTCTGAGCTTAGGGATTTCAGCTGAAGCTTTCGTCCCTTGTCATCCACAGCTTTTCCTGGTGAACTCTTGCTTTAAGAAGGGGCGAGAGGCCGGTACTGATAAAGGACAAAAAGTCTCACCAGGAAGCTGGACAAGATTGGACAAGTCAGGTTTTTGTTTCCTTTCCTCCGAGGCCTACAACGCCCCACTTCCGCCTGGCTGGACGGAGCATGTGGATGCCAACGGCCGGGGTCTCTCTGCTTTCCAGGACCTTCCTTTGTAGCCATGAATAGGGGTAATTATATGTCAATAAGGGCAGGATAGAGCAGGCATTGATGGTGTAGGAACTTTCGTACTGAAATAGGGGCTTCTGCTTAATTCTAGGCATGCAGGGTGCAGAACAGGGTGGCTGGAGCGTCTAGGGTTTTCGCTGCAAGTCATCCGGGACATTAGCTGCAGTTCTGAGGCCCTGAAGCAGCAACCGCAACGACCCGGGAACGAAATCCTCGGCCCAGATACCCTAAAACCCGAAAGCCCTTCAATCCTAGAGACCCTTAGCGCTGAAGCAGCCAGCCTGGCAGACATCTTCAGGGACAGTAGCCTCGACAACCCAGTTCCTCTTCATGACGCACTGTGCCTTCAAATTGGGGCCAACTGTTTCAGGTAGATGCTGGTAGAGGGACTTCCTCAAGTGATTGAAGCTGTATTGCTTAATGGGTTTAGCTTGTATTGGGCTCTTGGGGAGCAGCAGCAATCGACGCGCGCAGCGGGTTCGGAGAGCAGGGTTTGAGCTCTGGTGTTTGGTACCGACAATTACGAAGTGCTGGACTAGTACGAGTTTGGCACACTATATGGTATGCTCGGAACACAATATTCTATTTGTAAAGATGCGTGGCAGCGGAAATCCAGTTCTGAATCGAGGCCGAACTTACTTCTACAACACGAACCTGAGGGAGTCGCTATGGAAGCATCCCATGGATCAGGACCGCTTGAGGGCTTAGAGTTCAGGGAGTGGATCAGGTTCTGCTTTCAATTTTGTTTTTGTAGTCCGCCGTGTTTTTCTACTCAGCAAGTTTAGTCGTTGTTTCTACACTAAGATGCCGACCCGGTGGGTCGAGGACCAGTAAGTATGATTCAAGCACTGTCCTTGACAACTTTAGGCCAAAACCGTGTTGCACGCTGTTCTGATAGTATGTTACCATAGCATGGTAACATAACAAGGAGCTTAGGGTTCTCTGTGCGACATGGCAAGTTGTAGCCCATGGGCTGTTTAATCTACGATGTGAGTGCAGATTCACCATCCAGAATTCCAGGAATGAGGTTTCAGGTATATACGTTGGATTTACACAGACTGAGTTCAGTCATTTTTGTTTGTAGGATGGCAGAGTGACTGGCACATAATCATACATGCATACGTGTGTGTGTGTGTGTGTGTTTTACTCCTACATGCGCATGTCCTTGTATGTATGTATGTATGTATGTATGTACGTATGTATGTATGTATGTATGTACCTAATGTATGTGTCTAGTGTATGTACGTGTGTATGTATGTATACATGTATGTATGTATCCATGTACCTAATGTGTGTATGTACCTAATGTATGTGTGTACCTAATGTAAGTATGTACCTAATTAATGTATGTATGGATGTATGTATGTATGTAGGTATGTCTGTCTGTATGTAAGTCAGTTCGTAAGCAAGCAAGTAAGTAAGTAGGTATGTATGTATGTGTGTATGTGTGTGTATGTGTATGTGGATGTGTATGCATGTTTTTTTGTCCGCATGTAGGCATGCATGTATGTATGTATGTATGTACGTATGTATGTATGTATGTATGTATGTATGTATGTAAACATGTATGTATGTATGTATGTATGTATGTTTATGTATGTATGTATGTATGTATGCATGTATGTGTTTGTGGACATGTAGATATGTGTGTAGACATGTGTGTATGTTTATATAACATGCAAGTAGAAACAAAGCTCTGTACAAATCAACCCATATATGAACAAATGAGAACACAAATGTGTTTGTAAATGCTTGTAAATGTATAGAAACGTGTGTGTGTGTGTATAAATACATATATATATATATGTATACATATGCACATGGTGTGTACATACATATGTAGATGACATCATGTATGTGTTTGTGTGCGCGAGTGAAAACATGCTGCCGGATTGCTAGTGGCACATCCGACCCAAACCTTCGAGTAGCAGGGGTCCTTAAACCATACACCCTGATCCTTACTTAGGGTTTAGGGTTTGGGGCTTAGGGATAAACCCTAAACCCTAAGCCCTAAACTCTAAACCCTAAACCCTAAACCTTACTTAGGGTTTGGGGTTTGGGGTTTAGGAAGCCTTGCGTGGGTGTTTCGGAATGTTGGAGTCTGATGACGTGGAGATCGGCCCCGATGCCAGGAGTTTGTAGAGATCGCCAACTACTGGAGGTGGGAAGCTTTCGGTGAACCCTAAAACCCCGTAAAGGAAAAAATATGGAAGCTTACATTCCTCTATCTCTATGCAGCCGTTTTTTGGTCTCTACAAAGCCCGAATCCTAAACCCTGAGCTCTCAGGCTTATCCCATGTTCAGCCCTATAAAGCCTATCACCCGAGCTGTTTGGGCTGTCCGTTTACGGTTCAAAGTTGGGTTCTTCTTGGAGAACCTTTCAAGGAGAAAATAAAATAATATAATATATAGGGCCATGAAAGAGAAAATCTGCAGCTTGCTGCGGCTTGTGATTCTGACACTTGTAGCATTCTGTGAGCTTGGGGTGCCTTCAACTACCAAAGCTACTTGGTTGTAGTGTCCTTACAAATTCTGCGTTAGAACAAGAGCTTGCAGAACAAGTAGGTTCTGGTGGTTTGTGTTCGTAACTCGAACTTAAAGATGCAACTAGACCTGTAAACAAAAAATCTCATTCATGATTTCGGACGGCTAGACTGAGTGGGGGGGGGGGTAATGTAGGGGACTTAATTAATTAGAATAGGGTTTTGGGGTATGCTATACTGTAGCTAGAGTAAGGAACTGCCAAAACTAGCATAGGAATTGTTTAGGCGCGCGCCTTTATTACTCCAACTGAACCAAGAAGCCTCCTAAGTCCAGAACCCTTGCCGCGAATAATCTAGAAGCCTCAGAAATTACCAAGAATCTTCCTTCGGGTTCATTGTGATGTACCTATACTATGAGGGACCCCAAAAACCCCTATTCTGATTATGAGAGCCCCTACAATATGTGCGAAGCAGGGTTTATACCAGAGTCTGGGCTGAGGATATGTCAGGCTCCCGAGCTGGATTGTTGCAGATTGCGGCTTTGTTAGGGTAGGAGAGGGATACTCGTAAAAAACCCTACTTCATATGAGTTCCGTCACAGTAAGGGGTCCTTGACCAGGGTTCCTTACAATCAGGAGCTTGCTTGTTGGCATCGATCTTGTCTAATTCCGGGCCTTGATTTCCTGAAGTAGTGAGTCAAACCCTTATGGTAACCCTTTCAGATCCCGTTAAATCCTACACCCTACCCTAAACCCCTAAACCCAAAACCCTAAACCCCTAAACCCTACTCCCTAAACCCCTAAACCCTAAACCCCTAAACCCTAAACCGTCTACGCTAAAGTTCCTACGTGTGTCCATGCCTCCTTGTGCCAGGCGAGCCCTTAAAGATGGCGGCTTCTGGGATATCGATGAAGAGCTGGTGCGCCTCCCAAGTTGGGGAGTTGAGGGTTGAGGGCTGCGGGTTCAGGCTTTAGAGTTTTCCGGGTTTGGGGCTGAGGGTGGAGGTGGAGTTTAGGGTTCAGGGTGTTGTTTAGGGT